AAACAGTGGTCAAAAGACACTGATTACTGTTTTCTCTGTCCAGCAAAACTCCCTATCTGAGACTTTTGTTATTTTAGGTAGGTGAAATCGAACGATAGAATAATGATAGCATTGCTGTGAACGCAACTAACAGAGCTAAAGCAACCAGTGACTCACTCTCAAAGAAGTCAGTGGACACTGAACTGATTGTTAATGGATAAAAATCACATACAGACCCAAAGACAATTAACCCTTTGAAGTGCAAGATACTATATGTAGGCCTCCACTTCAATTCATAACTACATAACTCACATATTAGCTTAACAGCAGTTACCAAATCTTTTATTGCAGTTACTAAATAATAAGTCTTAGAATTAATCACTGAATAATAAGCCTTTAATGGGCTAACTAAACATTCAGAGAACTTACATTCCTACACCTATGCAGTACAAAGTTACCTCTAATATTACGTGTAAGTGAGGTTTGCTTGGTGAGGGAGGAGCAGAACAGGAGCTGGATTAGACACGCAGCCAGTAAATTATCCTAAATTCAGTTGGAGTGATCAAATCAAAAAGGGGGCAAAAACGGTCAAAAACTCAAAGGAGGGTCCAGGGACAGTTACGTGTGACAAAAGGAGGGGGAGTTGAAGAGGAAAGAGGGAGGGAGAGGGTGGAAGAGTAAAGCAGCTGGGATTGACGCTGCACACAGTAGATCTCATTGTGTTCACTCGGCTTATCCTTCATCAGTCTGCCGCGACACAGCTACCTCACAACATCCTTTCTGTGACTCCTGCAGCTTACAGTTTGTCATGATGCTGGGACCGCAGCTCTTACTGTGTTAGGTGGATCTTTATAAAAGCACTTTGGCTTTCACCGCAATGATCTCTCGCTGGGACGTCAAATCAACGCAGGCATGGTGTTTTTTTTGAGTAAAAACTTTCGATCTTTGCTGTCAGTCTTCAAGAAGAAGGGTGAGTAGAGAACTGCTTTGGTGTTCAAGACACCACTACACTCTTGAATGTAAAGGTTACTAAATGGTTCTTGGCTTAAACGCACAGTTTTAGAGAAAAACAAAACCTTTGAAAGAGATAGGACATTGAGATATAGAAAGATTTTTCATGCCGACACATCTTAATTACTAAAATGGTTCTTTAAATCAATGGGTGGGGGGTCCTAATGACGAGTTTGAGAACCATTGAAAAGTTTTTTAGGGAGCCAAAAGTGGTTCTTCACTGGAGTCACTGCACTCCTTTCAGCATCATTATTGCTCTTGGGTACTCGTCATGGTTGTGTCAGAGGAAAAAATGGACAAAACTGCACGTTGTATCACCATTTGTTTTTCAGTTTCATGATGAACGGGCTAACAGAAATGCTCCAATATGATTTGGAATAATTTCTCTTTACATATAACATTTAACTTAAGTTTTTGTATTCTCATGAAAACTATTTTGGAGATGCATAGTTTTTTTTGGTCGGTGATATGAGAGTGTACATAGACAGTGCATAGGAATGTTGCATTGTTAATCTAGCCACATAGTTTTAGTTACCTTTTATTATTTTACTGATTTAATATTTTGACAACACAGAATTGAACAAAAAATGCCATATTGAGGTCTATATACTGTAAAGAGTGTTTCAACTTAATTTCATTTAGAAATCAAATCAAACATGTAATTTGATGAGGTGTATCCCAACCCATGCAACTGTTTAATCAGTTCTGCATTATAAAAAATATGACATTATATATAATATATTGTAATTATATTCTTTGTGGTATATCATAAATCTGGACAATTACAGTCATAACAGGTTTGTGACTGAAAATAAAGAGCTGACCTCTGTAAGTGCTGTGTTTGGTATTTGAATAAGAGCGGGCAGCAGAAGTCTGAATAAGAAACAGAGAAGCAGGTGCTGAGCCGTGGGCCATTAGCTAACGTGACAGCAGTTCTCAGAAAAGCCAGAAGCTTTTCTTAACCTTCACTGTCAAAAAGAATAATCAAGAATGAGCTTGTTGACATCAGAGTGCAAGGTTAATTCCTTTTTATGACATGATAACTTCCTGATAGTGTTGCAGAGAGAGGAAGAGACCATGTGTCTGTTACCGGGCTGCACCCTGCTGTTTATAAGGTGACTCTGAAAGACTAAGACTGGGTCGTGGCCAGACAGGAACAAGACAGACGATTGTGAAAAAGTGCACCATTAGTCACTATCACTCAATCTATCAAACATCTTGTTCCTTTATGTTTGCCAATCTGAGGCAAAAGGTTCAGAATCAAAATAGACTTGTATTTTTGGAGTTCTTTGGTTTATCTTCCTTGCTCCCTTGTTCATTTTCTCTGCCATCCTTGAAATCCCTCTGCAATGCCTTAATAATAATGGATCTGTGGCAAAATAATGCATTATAAGAGATGTTGCAGTCCTAATAAAGTAGACATGTCACCATTTATCTATAGCATTTTCAAGCAATTACATTTAATAAAGTATCGTTTGTAAGATTGCCTCATATAGTGCACCTGCCCATGTTCCTTACATTAAGTCTGCATCAGATCACAGTCCTTGTCCTCACGGCCAGATCACCCTGACACCCCCGTTGGGTGTCCGCTAATCCAGACACTTAAAAGACGATGCCTGGTAGGGGGTTAAAAACGCTATTAAAGAGCTGAGGGGATTTCTTTTAGGCGAAGGTCCCTCTTTATGCAAAAACCTTTCATCACGTTTGCATCCTAATGTCCTTCACGAGGGCCAAAGCTGAGTTTCTCTTCTCACAAGTGTTTAAGGCACTGAGGGGGACATTAGGAAGCTGATATGGGGGCCCATATGAAGCTTCTTACTGTTTCTCAGACAGTGTCCAAAGGCAACTAAAGGTCACCCTCAAGTGTCGTGTTTCTCCCTATTGTCCAGCTAACAGTCAGCCTCAGTGCTAATCAGACATAACACTCTTGGACTTCAGCAGCCCAGGGGCCACTGGCTGCCTCATTACAGAGCGGTCAAAATGAAAAGACATGTAAACCGCAAACACTTCACACTAAATATGGCACAGAATGACGACTGTAAAGTGGCTGTTAAAGACGACACAAAAAGCGAAGGAAAGTTGGGGCTCAAAAACAAACAAAAAATTAATATCTCTTTCAATTCCCAAATGCCTCAAAAGCAAGGAAATATTGCATTCAAAGCTGGAGGTTTTATCTGGCCAATCCAGCTTATCTGCTACCTGGGGCGTAATGTTTCTCTGGCCTTAGCCAATCCTGGATTTACTCCACCGCATGCTGAACGGTCTATCTGTCTACCAGGCTGTTCCCTGAGAGAGACAAGCATGTGATGCATTGTGACAGCTGGACCACCCATATCCAAAGACTCACCTTAGCTTTCCAGGTTGCATGCAAGCATGGTGGCCTAGAGTGACTGATAGCACCTGACTGCTGCACTGAATAAGAACAAATACATATAAATATATACTCATTTATACTCTAGCATTGAAAAGTTTGGAATCAATATTTTTGAAAATGTAAAACCAATTTGGTGGCAGATAAATATATAAATGCTCGTCCTGTGCAACTTCACAGGTTTCTAGTAGGTTGTAGGACAATAGGAAGTTAAGTAAATAAGTAAATACATAAATTAATTGAAAATGTTAGATGTGATCAGAATGATGAATGTAAATATAAAACCTCAAAAATGATGTTATAATAAAATTAGTATTCATAATTCATCACTTTTCAAATCTCAAGTCAGGTAACCTCACAAAATGTATGTAAACAGATATTTACAGTACATTATTCATCACTTAGTACTTTCTTTTTCACAGAATTGTTAACATTTGGAACAAAACCATAAAATATCTAATGGCAAATAGTCTGTAATATCTAAATACACACTTTGTTATTATTGTACAGAAAATAATAGAAACTGTAAAAATGGCAAGTGTTTCCAAACTTTTGAATGCTAGAGTTCAGTAGAAAGTTCCGGTACCAGTAATTGCCAGTTGTAAGAAATGTTTGTCCTTTTGACTAAAAAAAGTTAAAACAGCATTTAAACAGAGGTGGGCAGAGTAGCTTAGCCCCCCCCCCACACACACCCCAACCTTTAGTAGCCTTTATTAACACTTTCACAGTTATTTAATTTAAAACTTCTAACTTCTTTCAAAGTAGCAGCATTAAAGCCTCAGGTTTCTGTATGCTGAATGGGAAGAAGGGGATGCAAAGGGTAATCTGGTATTGGGTGGCATTAAAGGTCAAGACAGCTAGAGAGATTATTTAGCATGAGTGTCAGACTAACATACTGCTGCTGAGATCCTATCTACAATCTGTCAAGTGTCCATCTGACTGCCAACATTAGCAGGTGCTACTACAGAAAATGAAAGAAAAACTGGCATTTTCACAACCAGAGAACACTGCACTTCACAAACTAGTAAACATTTATAAGGTCAGTTTCCCAGTCAGCCTACGCCTGGACTACATGGCATTCTGAATGTACATTCTGCATTGAAAGTGTAGTCAAGGACTAGGCTTTAAACCTTTCTGGGAAACCAGCCAAATATTTTGCATGTTGAAGGAATCTGTTAATTTGCATGTGAAGAAAAAATGTGAAAGATGTTAACCATGGATGAAACCGTAGCTTTTTCAGAAGCGTAAATTCAGTCAGATGCACTCACCATGTAAATCACCTTCATTTGATTTGGAGGGAAGAGTCAAACAAGAGTCTCTCTCTTTTGTTGTCGTAGTCAATTAGATCAGAGCTGCCAATCGAGTCTGAGGCCAGAGTCTTTTCTACCTCACATGCTCTAATACTGTAATGATCTTACACCGCCTGCTTGTTGTGAGTTTAACATGGCACAGTGACCAGACATGGCAAACGGCTGTTACTAATGAATGTTAACTATATTGCAGAGTAAACAATCAATATATGTACTTGATAACATTTACTTGATAATTGAAAAATGCTATGTACATACACTGCTAATGTTTTTGAATAATATGAATAATTTTCCAGGCATCTAACAAAGATGACTCACTCTCTCTGTAGCTGGGCAAAAGCAAGATGAGCAGAGGAAGCTGACAGTGCATTACACAGCCTCCCAACACTACCAGGAGAATGTGTTCATTGAGGGCAACAGGCCAAAGTATCTGGAAGACCTCCACACTGAAGCCCAAGAAGGACTCAAGATACTACAACAGGAGGGTGAGCATCCTCTGCTCTAGCTCTTCCTAAACAATCTTAAGCTAACTAATTTCTTACATCATACATCTTAGAGTGCTGATGTGCATCTTATTAAATTTCTACCACAGAGCACAATAATGGAGTGGACTTTAAGGATGATCAGACTGTTGTAAGTTCCTGTTATACAGAAAAAAGTAGAATATGGTGTTTGACAGGTGACTTCATATGTCCTCTCTGGGTTGCTTCCTCTTGCAGCGCACAGACTCTCCACAAGAAAAAGACGCCTGTTGCCAGGAAAGAGATGAACAACTGGATTTTGACAGCACTGCTGACCCCTCCATCACATCAGTATCCAGTATATTTGCAGCGTCTTCACGGCCTGTGCTAACACGGCAAGGTACAGCATATTATTACAATGGTGTAGCAAACTGATGGTTTGGATGGTCTTAAACTTGTAAATGTAATCTAAACAGATCATATCTGGCGGCTTATTTTATTCATTTTTCTATGTGTAGTTTAGAATTAGGCATTTGAATCCTGTTTGTTCTTGATGAATATTGTGCAGGAAGTCATTTAATCAATCACAGGGTTTAGAATCTAGTTTCTTAATCCAGCTCTTGAGGACCCACTGTCCTCAAGAGCTGTACAGTTTCAAATATTTCCTGCCCCAACACACAGTCCAGCTCACAAAGGGCTCCATAATAATCAGATGATGAGCTGGATAAAGTGTGTTGGAGCAGCAAAAATTTGAAACTGTGATACTGCCTTCCCCAGAGTAAAGGCTTTAACACATGAGATTTTTTTCAGACATTAATTCATTTAAACACGTGTATAACTGATGAGATCTTGCACACTAAACGTGACTTTTGGAAAGGCGAAAATGCAACTTTATTTTGTTTAACCTCTGGAATATTTTAGCAAACTTTCACAGGCAACATCAACTTAACCATCAACCAGTCACTGTTGTCTCTGCTGCTGAAATGGATAAGTTTGCCTTCTGCTTTGTCAACTGTAGTGCTAGCATTCCAAAAGCAACTTAAGTTGGGCTTACAGGCATCAAAATGCTCAAAAAACATAAAAAAAAAATCAAAACATTTTCAGCTCTCCACACTACTTTTCCAAAATGGACATGGCAAAATTAAAAAAAAATGCATTGCGTCCACTGTGTATAGATTTGACGCAAACAAATGTCTGAATACTCATGCGCAATGAGTAATAGCATTATGGATTAAGAAACAAAGATCTAAAGAAAAAATGGTTTTATTATTCCATATTCAAGTATGACACCACAGCTTTTGTGAATGCTTTGTGGACTGAACCATTCCAGCTCCTGTAGCTTTTCTTACATTCTTAGGTTCATATTCTCAGGTTCAACATTTAAGCCCTTGAACACTGTGAAAAGGCTGGACAAGACCAAAAAGAGAACCAGAAGAACAACCATTATGGGAATCCCACAGCAGGTTCAGAGAGAGCTATGTATGTCATCTACATGCTAGTATACTGCACATTGTAATACATGTATTAAGATATAGTTCACAAAATACTGTGTTCATAAAATCATTTGATTGTAAACAGGTATGGGGAAGGGAGTTTTACTGCAGCAACTCCCAAACAATGAAGATGACAATTCATCTAGCACAGTCATAATCCCAACAATTGATGGAGGGGTGCCAGTAACAAACCATGAAGGGGCCCGTGTACATCTACAGGACATTGAAGCTCTCCAGGCCTCCAGAGATGAGCAACTTCTCAGACACCACATACAGGCTGTGTACAGAGATGACTTACTCTTAAACCGCAAACTCGGGCCTCGAACGTCACCTATGCAGAGGCCCAAGTCCCTTGCTGTACCAGGAATGACTACTTCCTCCTCCTTCCTGCAGGAACCACAAGGTCCTGTGATGTCTATCTCTCCACAGGCTACTTATTTATCCACGATCATTCCTAATGCAGTTCTACCTGCTGCTATAGATGTAATAGAAATTAACAGGAGCCGCAGCCGGCGCAGTGTACGTACAGTTAGCAAGAGCAGCTTAGCATCCGCAAGTCCAGGTTCTTCACGGTCAGGAGGTGGTACCCATGATGTTCCACCTTCCAACAACTCTAAACGTAGCCATTCGCAATCTTCTGAGACTGTTGCGTCCAACCCCTCAACAATTTCCTTCAAAGGTAATGCTCCACCTTTACATCCAACAGACAGCACAAAGGAAGTCACAGATTTAAACCAAGAGGAACAAAGGAGTCAAAAAAGCTCATCTAGCTGGTTAAGTTCAAGCACCAAAGCAGCCAGTCATAAACCAGAGCAAGAGGAACTGAGTGAAACTGGGGAAAGTGTCCGAAACAGTCAGCTGTTCTCTCGTAGCATGTCTGTAACGAAAGCTAAACTACCACCAGCACCACCAAGGAGGACATACTCTTTGCATCAGGAAAAGCTTAAGCAACGGTCAAGGGAACAGGCAGACATAAAAGATTTAAATCATTTGGAATCCAATAATGGCCGAATGAATGGAGATGTCAATGCAAAAGAAGATCCTATATCATCCAACAATGAAAATAAGTCTACCCATTCTCCAGTAACAGCATTTTTGGATGACACTCACTCATCTCTGACTTCCAGTCCACAGAGTCCTGATCAAGATTACACTGATGCTCAAACTGGGTCAGGTAACTCATCCCCACAGAATAAATTTGAAAGGACAGTGTCACCATCAAGTGGATACTCAAGTCAAAGTGGCACACCAACTCATCCTTCTAAAGACATATGTCCTACCTCTCCAGGAAAGCACAAGGTAAAGCCTCCCAAACCAGAGAGGATGGGTGCACGAACCTCTCCTGTGGTGTCAGTCTCATCATCAATGAATTCCCTTTCATCAGCTGCAACAGATCCAGCCCATCTGTCTACACAAACCCACACCACTCTGTCACAGCCACCAAAATTTTCCACTTTTGTTAAAGTAGAGAAGAACAAAGTGACTCCTGTACCCTCAGGATCAGCCCTCAGGGACTTGTTTAACATTCCACCTCCACCTAAAGTAAAAGCTCCTTGTCCCCCACCCCCTGAAACCTGGGCTCACAATAAACGTACAGTTGAGCTTCTATGTGGCCCAAGTCCATGCCCCAACAGGATATATGAGCTTCAAAAACAACAAAAAGACCCTTCACTAATGAAAAAACAGGACACAACAGATCACACAGACCAAACCTCTTTAGAAAGGCACATATCAGTTGAAATGAAAACAAATGAACCCCGTTCAGAGAATAAAGAGGTCACAACTGAAGCAAAGAATGAGGCCATGCCTGTTCAAAAACAAGTGACTCTGGATGAAACTCTAGTTTTAAGGCATAAAGAAAGTCCACCGATGAATGAAAAAGAAGAAGAACGTCATCCTGAGAGGGAAACTGCAAGTGTGAATGAGAAACAAGAGCAGAGAGATTTAGAAGACCAGAAGATGGAACAAGAAAGTCCTGTTACTTCAGAGAAAGTGCCATCAGACGAGGTTGATCAAAGAGTGCCGTCATCAACACAGCAGTTGAAAACTGAGAAGCATCAGCTTGATACAAGTGCGTTGCTAGAGAATGACACTTCGACCCCAAAGACAGAGAGCACTGACACAGAGGACCAAAACTTTGTCAAGCACTGCACTGACAAAGATATTCAAGATCATACACCCACTAAAAATCTAAGTTCAGAGCCCCCTAGAGTCACTGGAAACTCTCCACCTCCCTCTCCACCTCCTGCACATCATCCTCCTCCACCTCCTTCTAAAAACTCTCCTGCCTCCTCAGAGTCCAAACCTTCACTTGAGCCAGATACAGAAAAAGAATACTCCATTTTGGAGTGTTCCTGGCCCCCACCACCTCCACCTTTAGAAGAGTCATCTGATTTAGTATTTGAAGTACAGGATGAAATAGACTTTCCTCCACCTCCACCACCACTCACACATGAAACACCTTCAGACATGTCAGATGACCGCAACATGGAATCAACCGGACAGGGAAACAACATGGCTCAAGAGGACTCCTCTTATGTGCCAGATATAGCTAATCAGGAAGTGCACAATTCAGAGAAATCTTATGATGAACAACCAACTGTTGATTCCTCTTTGAATGGTCCAGAGGCGTTAGATGACGAATCATTTGATCAGTCCCAAGTCAAACCACAGTCCTCTGAGAATGTTTCACAAGTCTCCCATGATCTGGTTTGTTCAAAACCTCCTGTACTTCCTGAATTTTCCTCTCAATCCCAGGAGGAACCTTTCCAACAGCTGCCTGAGGAAGTCCGTCTTCCACCTCTACAGGATCCTCCAAGTCCTACAATCATGTTAGCCAAAGATTTATCAAAGCAAGTAACATCTGAAACACCTGTACTCACTACTGAAGTGGCTAGTCCTCTTTCAATGGAAGATCAGTCTACGTTTAATTTCAGAAGACAACCAAGTCTAATGAGCAAAGACAACAGGAGCAAGGAACTTTTCTCCAGGCCTAAAAGTGCACCTATTCCAAAGGAAGATGCAAACATTCCCCTTGTGACACCTTCTCTACTTCAGATGGTGCGTCTACGGTCTGTAAATGTTGAAGACCAGGTTAACACACTCTCACAGGATTGCAAACCTGATAAGGAAGGCACCCCAGATCAGGATCAGGGAACACCTAGTCAGGTAATTCCACAAAAACCTATACGTAAATCCTGCTTAAAGTCCACGCAATCATCGGTGAAGTCATCCCCTGCTATGGTCTTGGCCCCTTCAATGCGCCTTCAAGAGGCAATACGTATGAAGACGGCTGCAATGACCTCCAGTGGAGTTCCAGCAAGGATCAGCCTACGCTTGCCAACCCCCACCACGAACAGCAATGATATACCTGTACTATCTCCTAAAACACAAGAAAGTAGTGACCTGCACAAGTCCCCTGCATCCACAGCCAGTTTCATTTTCTCCAAGAGCACAAAGAAAGTTGTCATTGAGACACCTACATCTCCAGAGGTCCAGGCTACCCTCAAGCAGAACCTTGCAGCTGAGCTCATGCAGTTTTCTGATCAAACTAAGTCAACGGTTACAAATGAGACAAAAAAGCATGTTAAGGTGCCACCACCTGTGGCTAAGAAACCAGCACATGCAACAAATCCATTAGATAAGTTTGGGACTGCCACAGCACTTGCAATTGAAAGCTCATCAAGTAAGCAAAAAAATGGAATAGAGAATGGACAAATTGAGAACGTGCAACCTGCTGGCCAGCGAGCACAATCCCAAAGGACAAAGATGCCAGCAAGTAAGAAATAAAATACCATATTTTATTCATTTATGCTGTACACATCAAAAACACATCCTATAATCTGGTAATTTATTTTGTATTACTGAATACCAAATATGTGGTTCACAAAAAGTGTAACTACAACCAGACTTCTCTTTTTCAGGTACAACAGAGACTGCAAGTACTCTTGAGGTGTCATAAGGCTTGGGGAGAATTGTTCAATCACTGTTCTTTTAATGTAGAAAGTTAGTGAAAGCAGGGTCTAGCCACCAAGGACAATATAGCTGTTATATTGTAAAAGCCTTAGCCTGAACATGGCCTTCATATTTATGCAAAAAAATTGGATTGGAGTTGGTCCCAATTCCTTTAATATTATAGCTTTACTGAGCTTTACTGTAGCTTTGGGGTATTTTTCTATACAGTATAGTTTTTGTCTGTTTTGGCAAAACATTAAAAAGTCACCTTTATTTATTAAGGGTGGCTGTTAAAAGTGGATTTTGTAAATTCTCAAGTTGACTGCAAATATTAAACTGTCATATTTAGTGGTCATTAAGGGTAGTAGTTACTGCTGATCAGAAATGAAACTAAACGGAGCTGCTTTGATGTTCTCTAGTGAATATCAAACTTTATTATTATGCTCAAATGTTTTTCCCAACGCAAATATGCATTTTTAATGCTCACATTAAGTACAGAGTTTATCCTCCAGCAGCTATTGGAGATGGTTACTTATACTAACACATTTTGAGTGTATGTACATATATATTTACACATTTTATTTTACAATATTACAGAGCTTTGCTCAATGCACCTGTATAATTAGAATACATGTGATTTAGAAATCACAGGATATATAGGCTGTGGTTGGGAGATGGGGAAAAATGTATATTCTGAACTTTGGGAAGCACTTTGCAAGTGACATAACGCTGCAAGACCCACTTCTGATAAAATCAGCAAGGCAAGTAAATTATATGCTCCCTCTAAAACACACATAGAACATGATTGGTGTCAAGTAACGAGTAAATAGCATTGGCACTTATATGTATTCAAACATTTGGCTATATATGGATTAAGAAGATATTCATTTGTATTTTATAATCTGCAGAAAATTGCTTTTGGCGCTGTTACAACCTTTCTTTTATTTTTAAACTTACTTTATCATTAAATGACATAACTTCCTAACCAAATCTCTACAAATCACTGAGGTTTTTCCACTATGTTCAAATGTATGCAATGTATTTTCTCTATTCAAGTAAAAAACATTTCACATTGTGTAAAAATTGGTGTGATGGTCTGTTTTAATTGGTTTACATCTCACACTGGTCAAATCCTGAGGATTTAAAATAAACAACTGAAATGCACCAAAAAAATAAATGCACTGTTTCACTGTTCACTTACTTTTTTAAAAACTGCACTTAATTCATTCACCTCATTGTCTAGACTTGCATTTTGTTGCTCTCGTGACAAAAACTCATCACCATAATGGTGACTTTAGAAGGGAAAAATGTTATTGGAACAAGTAATTTTGGAGCATTTCTATTGCTTCATTCATCACCAAATTTTGATACAATATGAAAAAAAATTATTTAAAGGGCCCATATCATGGAAAAATAAATTTCCTTTGCTTAAAAATATATTATATATACACACAAACACACACATTATATTATATATATATATATATATATATATATATATATATATATATATATATATATATATATATATATATACACACAGCTTCTAAATGTAACATTCATTTCCCAGTCCACTTAGCCTATATATGAAAACTAAGTTTCAAAAACAAATGACTGAATTCACTGTTTCTGTGATGTCCTGAGAACCAACTTATTTACATACATACTTCAAGGAGTTCACTTCAAGGAGCCTAGCCACTTCCTTTTTCTCCTGTCATTTAAAAAATATATATGACTGCAAAACACCAGAGAGCGCTCGTGAGTGAGTCCTTAATGAAAGGGGTGAACAGAGCTAAACGGCTAATAACAAAGTTTAAATAGTTTCTAACCATTTGTCTAAGACCTTCCTTTAATTTTAGAAAGCAGAAGGATGTATTTTTTTCACTAAGCAAACAGGTTTTGGTCGGTAGGAGGCTAAAATTACTACTACTGAGTGCTGACTGGTTGGTGAGCAGAGCAGCTCATGACAAGAGAAATGTAAGATATGGGTCCTTTAACAATATCAAGGAATGGCCTTTCAGATTCTTGCCAGGTACTCTGGATAAGACTGTCTGCTAAATTAAAATGTAAGAAATGGAATAATTTAATTAAACTTCAGTTTGAAAAAATTGAATTTCTGTGGTCAAAGGTTGGTCAGATCTTAAAAACAAAACATGCAGATCACTGCAAAGGTCACATTTATCTGACAGTTACGTCAGGAATAACTCATAGGAAGGACTGCTAATTATAGGCACAATATACAGGTGTTGTGAAAGTAGATGTGAGCTAAAATACTCTGAGCATTGTCTTTCATATTTTCAGTGTATTGCTGATCATCTAAAAATGGCTTTTGAATGATTTCAATTTAATACTGGTTTCCTGTTAATATTTCTTAAAGGTGAAACTGTTGCTGGAAGTGTTCAGCTGCTTAGAAGAGTAGGTACATTTTTACGTAGTCCACTCCTCCGTGATATGTTTTTTATCCCATTAAGCAATGTACTTTCAGGTGAATAAAAGATATACTTATTATTTTAAGAATTACAAAGTAATAAAGCTGAAGAACTACAAATAATTTACATACCCATATTTTTTACATTAATATGCACGTTTACAGTTTTGAACGTAAAATGTCATTATGCATCAAAAACTGCACAGACCTCATATATAATTTTATCGCATGTCTCTTTTTTTGTTGGAAGAAATGAACTGAAACATACACGGACATATACAAAAGACTATACTGCAAGCATTTAGGTTCCACAGGTTTATGTACCTTTCCACAAACTATATCTAACATGGCAAAAAAATGATCACCTAATGTTCCTGAAGATGCCTGGGTGGTTGGCAAGTGCAGTATTGTCTAATGAGCGTATATTGCAGAAATAGGTTTTAAATGATTTAAGACCAGCACTTAACATGCTTTAATGTACTTGACCTCTTTGGGAAGATGTGCAAGATCCTGTTTTCTCAAAACCTGGCCAATCTGATGAGCACACAGTCTTAAACAGTTTGAACATTCCTTTCAACTCCTAGCCTGACAATACCTTTTAATTCCTTTAACAAAAAGAAATGAACAGGAGAACAGTGTTTATTTTCCATATTTATTATGTAACATTATCCCTTATACATGTTAAGTTCAGTATGTAATGCTACTGTTTCCCAGTGTTTGAATGGCCTTATTTCCATCAACTAAAGGTAACCGTTGATGTGTCACCATAAGAGGACCTGAGTTGAAAGGTAACATAAGACCTTAAACACAGTCTATTATGCACTTAAGCACATTATGACATTTTAGGCAGCATTACATGCAATGTGCAGTATATGGTTCAGAGAAAATACCCACATGAAAACAAGACAAGAAGTGATGAAAGGAATGAATTAACCTCTGTGAAAAAAGCGCTTACTGTTTTTTTGACAGATTCCTCAGCCTTTGATTCTGTTACAATTAATAGAAGTCATATCTAGCACTGTGCATTTGTCATTGGGATGTTGGGTTTCCATGATAACTCTAGATTTGAAGACTAGGGGAAAGAAGGAAATATCTAGCTGATGTTGCCACCTTTCAGTGTTTTACAGGTGATTTTTCCCAGCTTGGTCATCAGATCTTTCTCTTTCCACTGAGCTATGCACTCATCTGAGATCTTCAGGTCCACCTGAGAGGGGAACACATACATTCACGCATACAATCAATGTGTGACACAATAAACTGTCCACCATCCTTCATGCACAATTAAGCAAATAGCACCTGACAGCCCAGTTCACATTTATCTCATTCACATACCTGTAATTTCTCAAACACCTTCTTCTTTGGCTTCAGCTCATCGTCTGGTTTGCCCGACTCAAATCCCTCTACATAAACACGATCTCCTGGTGCTGATCCCTCAGGAGGATCTAAAGGCTCTACTCTCCTGGGATCCCCCTCACTGTGACACAGAATATACAGAAAAAGAGAGACAAATCAGATATACCAGGACAAAAATTAAGGCCTCTGAATTAGCAGTAAATTCAGTCAGCTTGCTCTCATCAGGGATGCATCGATACCATTTTTCAGGCCAAGTACGAGTACATGTTTTTAGTACACAATGATATTGATACACATTGAGTAACTTGCATGAAATTACACAGTTGTTAGAGTAAATGAGTGCAAAGTACCTTGACAATTAAATCATTAAAATCTAGCTGATTTTAAATGAAGTGCATTAGTTAGCTATGTTACATTAGTTACCTATATTAGTTCAAGTAGCATTGTAGTGGAGAAGAGCGGGTTTTGTTTCACATCAGAAAAGCACAGCTGTAGTAAAGTATGTTTGATGATTTTGATCCAATGCTCTGCATCTGTCTCTTTTAACAACAGTCTCTGTAGCACAGTGACAGCAAGAATCACATCCAATGCTAATCCAAGGGTCTCACATTTTGAGTTTTACATCTTGTGGGAGTCTTTTGGCTTGTTGAGCTGTAGCTGAATGTCCTCTAAAGCCAGATCACTATGTGATTTTACAAATCTTGTTCTTTGGGGACTCTCACTGTACGTTTGAACAGACCACGGTTTATGGACAAAGCCTTTAATACATGCTCACACTATATGAAAAAGCTCAGTCCGCTTGACACACCACGTGAAACGCAGCCTCTACAGACAGCTCAGTGTATGAACAAATTTCAATACAGCTGTTTCATTTAAAATAACACTCTGCGCATCAAAGTAATGAGCAAACACATTAAGAAACTGCTACAGCAGCTCTGATAACTTGTACCACACTGTGCTGTTACTGCCTATTTTACAAATGCAATTTAAAAAAAAAACATATGTTTACACTTTGCAATTCTATTCAGTCAAACAGAGTACAGTTGGCATATACAGACTTTGGTACCGCACACCTTCGTTCATTGGCTGCTTGAGTCATTTGTTCACACCAGTCCTATGTCACATGGTCTCAGGTGGTATCAGATGTTGGTATCGGTGCATTTTTATGAGCACAGTATCAAGCAGATACTTAATAACAGTATCTGTATCAATGCATCCCTAGTTCTAAAGCCTGGCTATCAGATACTCACACTGAGGCACAGAGCAGCATAGCCTGAGATTCAATTCCACGCATCTTCTGGTGCTTCAGATTGCACAGCAATATCACAAGCCGGTCCTGAAGCTCCTCCTGGGAAACGTAAGCCACCAATCCACTGACAACAGTCCGAGGCTGCTCCTCTCCAATGTCAATCTTCTCTAAATACAGGGAGTCTGCATCCGGGTGCTGTAGAGTTCAAGATAAAAGTGCAATTAAACATCATGAAGACTTTCTGTCATCAGCAGGTTAGTATGCCAAATGAAAGCAATTAAACACAGGTCCTGCACTACTTCTGCAACATAAGTACCTACTCAATCTCATAAGTGACTTATGAGTCAGCAGTAAGTATGTTGTCAGTAGGGGGTGGGCAATATGACAATGTTTTATCGTTATCATGATAAAATACATCACAATACACTTTCCTGAGGATATTGTGGATATCATCAGCACTAAATGAACACTGACTGACGTTCCATTACAAAGAGCGCATAATCAAGCCTGTTTAGATTTAGTGCAATGCAGTTTGTAAAACATAGGAATAAAAATCATTGCAGGAGCAGTTTTCTTTCACCATCATTAATATATAATATTATTACTGTACTTTTATAGTATTTTATGTGATAGAAAATTTCTAGAAGTTTCTATTTTGTCTGTTCCAACTTATTAAATTTCAGAAAAAAATATCAGGACGTATGTTGTTTATCCTGAATATCCTGAAACAATATTGTTGCAATATCGCCCACCCCTAGTAGGCAGTG